GGTGCTTTCATCGCAGGCTGATGAGAAATAATCAAAAGCCACTCCCCTGTCCCCCAGTTGTCTCTGAATATCTGACGATATGTCCTCAACTCTCCGTGCCACAGTGTTGCGTGCCAGGCAAACATTCATAAATTCTTGCTTCTTCTCGGGGCAAATGTTCTCCACCATTTTCATGACACAGTCTTTGATAAATGCACCTTCAGTAAAAGGTTTGCCATGTTTAGCTATTAACATGACCACTTCGTAGCTGGCTTTGCTGAAGTTTTCCTTTGACTCACAGGCCCGCGTGAAGAATCGCTGTTGCGATGCCAGAGCAGCACGGAGTTGCTTCACTTTTTCAGCGTGGACACTCCCTGTTAGCTTGTCGTATGTTGTAGCATGTTTAGTCTTGTTATGTCTCTTTATGTTGAAATCCTTAAACAAGGCATCCGTCTCTTTACAAATTAGACAAACACAATTGCCTAGATTTCCAGTGAAGAAGTATTGTAATTCCCACCGCTCCTGAAAGCGGCGGCCCTCACTGTCAACTTTTCTCTTTTTTTTTGCAGTCGCCATGGCAGAAATAATTCGAGAAGGGTTTGTGGCACGTATGCAAAGCCAGAGGGCATTAGAATGGTGCTGCCACCGTGTGGCGGAAGGAGGAAGTTTTATGATTTATTTATTCTGACAGAGATAGCGAGCCATAAAACAGGTCCCTGCGGGGTGGGCTGGTAGGAACGAACAAGTGAATGGCTATAATAAAATGAAATGGTGGGGGTACGATACGAAGGGAGAGTTTGAGGCCTAGTTCTAGGCTTTAGGCCTAGCTGTAGGCTTTAGGCCGCTGTGAGTTAATTTTTAATTTAAATGTTTTAATTAAAAACTATCTCAGGGAATTATAAGGGAATGTTACACTTGATAAGCCAGGAAAGCCTCACTGAGTCTAAAGGTTTTTGTAGGGTCCTGCCAAGTGTTTGCAGTAGGGGGCGATGTTGCTACACCTAATTGGACATCGGACTGACGGACGGACGATATAATCTATTGTAGGCTGGTTCACTTCGTTCCTACCAGTATAACACATTATAAGAACGAAGCTGCGGGCCGTATGAAATCTGACCGCGGGCCGGACTTTGGACATGCCTGCCGTAGATATTACTGCAAGAGGAGGGGGGGAGGAGCCAAGGAGGACGGGTGCTGGATACTGTACCACCAAAGATTTGTCAATGAAGCCATACAGATATACAAACACAGACATAACTTCAACCGAGAAGATGGATTCAAATTGAGCAATTATTGGAAAGATGTGATTAACCATGTTAGACCTCAACCGCTACGCTCCCCCGCTCTGCGTCCCACCTCCACCATCCGTGACGCAGTCTTTTAGTTCCACCTTCACCTTCCTGGCTCCACCCCCATCCTGCACCTCGTCCTCCTTGGCTCCTCCCCCCTCCTCTTACCCTATATATTAATGCCCCATCACAAATAACTCACACTACAGTTATTTTGCTGTGTCCTTTTACACCTGATGAAGGAAGCTTGTGTTGCCTCCGAAAAGTCGTGATTGAATTTATTTATTTTCATATATTTTTTTTATTTTATTATAATTTTTTACCTACGTGAATTTACCGAAAAAACATCTAAGAGTACTTATCTAGGTTGTCACGTGGTGTCTGAATTGTGCGTTTTCACGCTGAACTCAGGCCAAAGCCATCAACTCGGTTGATTTGTCTTCTTGGTTCTTTCGGTAAAGTCACGTAGAAGGGAAGTAATAAAATAATAAAAATAAAACATAATAAAACAATTCTCACGACGTTTCGGCCACAACGCAAGCAGCCGTCCTCAGGCGAAGAATGAAACACCACCAAGCTTGGAGCGTATATTTAAGCTGGGTTAGAGGGGGGGAGGTGGGAAGAAGAGCGCCTAAACAAAATAATTTGCATATCAAGATGAATTCAGCATATGGAAAATGCGTAGGAGGTGGGCGGGGGGGGGGGTTCCAAATCAATACTATGCCCGTGCATTATGCAGGATTAGCAGCATCAAAAGGGGGGGGAGGGGGGTAGCATTAACAAAGGAGAGGAATGTTAATAGTATGTAGCTGCAGTTACTAAACAACCACGTAAAAAACTAAAGTATAAACTGCATAACAAAATAAAGTATAAACTACATAGCATCATCAGTATACTTACTATACTCTACAATAAGCTGAGTTACTAACAGTAAGTAATACATAAAAAATTTCTACGTTGTAAAAAATTATATAATATGCTTCTATCTAAACTTTATTCTCTTACATCACACGCGTCTATACCGTACTATATACTGCCATAGGCAAACCCAACATTAAATTACATACTGTATTGCTATAAACCACTCTATACCTTATACATTTTAATATAACACTATGTATTATTCTACCCACCCTAATGTGTATCAAAATGGTTTATTACGTCCTTCCAGTGATTGCTAAGCCAGAATCCATCTTCACGGTTAAAATTGTCTCTGTGTTTGTATATGTGGATCGCCTCATGAACGAATCTCTCATGATAGCCAGATGGCTTGCAGAGAACCTCTGTCTTGGAGAAGTCAATGTCATGTGAGCCCACTGAGTTGTAACAGTGATCTGCCACGGCTGAGGTGTTTGTCCTACCGTGTTTCAGGTCAGCTTTATGTTCACGGATGCGGTCCGAGACATGTCGTTTGGTTTCCCCAATGTAACTGCTACCACAGAGGCAACTTAGTTTGTAGACACCAGGGCACTGTTGCTTGCGTTGTGGCCGAAACTGCTGCTTGCGTTGTGGCCGAAACGTCGTGAGAATTGTTTTATTATGTTTTATTTTTATTATTTTATTACTTCCCTTCTACGTGACTTTACCGAAAGAACCAAGAAGATGAATCCCTGCAGTCACGAAAGCTTTAAATCGGTTGATTTGTTTTTATTTCTCTGACCGTTAATGTCTTGGCCAATAGTTGTTAGCTTTGCATAGAATAATCAACATTACGAATAGCAGGCGAATGTGCGTGTCTGCATTGTCGTCCGTCTGGGCAGCAACATCTCATTATTAGCACCGGAGCAAACAAATCCGTTCAACTCATATTGTTTGGGTAAAGTTATTCCTTCGTACCAGGCAAGAGTTGTATATTCTGTGTACCGCAAGGCCGGAGCCATGGAGTCAACATTGGAGGGGACCAAATCTTCCAGGGGATCTGGGGGTGCCCACCCCCCCCCCCCCCAGAAAAAAAAATCTAAATTTGAAAACGAATTTCCTGCCATTTCCTATCTAAAATATAAGAAAATTCACTAACGCATAGGATTGACTATTTATTTTTAACAATAATGTCTAATAGTGTATTGTATTTGTGTATTATGTTGCTCTGTTTTTTTTATCGTTTCTTGTTTCATTGTATGTAATGGTAAAAATGAGGGATTTATAAAGTACAACCATTGCCACAATCATATAAACAGAAATCTTTTTTATAGCAATATATTGGAAGGGAGGGGGGGGAAATTTTTAGCATATTTGAATATTGGGGGGGGGGGGGGGAATGTGTGTGTCCCCCCCCCCAATATGTATGATAATTACGGTCTTGGTGTACCGTGCCAGACCTCAACTCCGGATTGTTTTTCAATACGTGAGACGTGTGATGTGTGAGTAGCAATGAGTGACAGATGCAATGGGTGAGATATGCACTGGGTGAGAGATGCAATGGGTGAGAGATGCAATGGGTGAGAGATGCACTGGGTGAGAGATGCAATGGGTGAGAGATGCAATGGGTGAGAGACGCAATGAGTGACAGATGCAATGGGTGAGAGATGCACTGGGTGAGAGATACACTGGGTGAGAGATGCGATGGGTGAGAGATGCAATGGGTGAGAGATGCACTGGGTGAGAGATGCACTGGGTGAGAGATGCGATGGGTGAGAGATGCAATGGGTGAGAGATGCACTGGGTGAGAGATGCAATGGGTGAGAGATGCAATGGGTGAGAGATGCACTGGGTGAGAGATGCGATGGGTGAGAGATGCAATGGGTGAGAGATGCGATGGGTGAGAGATGCAATGGGTGAGAGATGCACTGGGTGAGAGATGCACTGGGTGAGAGATGCGATGGGTGAGAGATGCAATGGGTGAGAGATGCAATGAGTGAGAGATGCAATGAGTGAGAGATGCAATGGGTGAGAGATGCGATGGGTGAGAGATGCAATGGGTGAGAGATGCACTGGGTGAGAGATGCACTGGGTGAGAGATGCAATGGGTGAGAGATGCAATGGGTGAGAGATGCACTGGGTGAGAGATGCGATGGGTGAGAGATGCAATGGGTGAGAGATGCACTGGGTGAGAGATGCGATGGGTGAGAGATGCAATGGGTGAGAGATGCACTGGGTGAGAGATGCGATGGGTGAGAGATGCAATGGGTGAGAGATGCAATGGGTGAGAGATGCAATGGGTGAGAGATGCAATGGGTGAGAGATGCACTGGGTGAGAGATGCAATGGGTGAGAGATGCACTGGGTGAGAGATGCAATGGGTGAGAGATGCACTGGGTGAGAGATGCAATGGGTGAGAGATGCAATGGGTGAGAGATGCACTTGGTGAGAGATGCAATGGGTGAGAGATGCGATGGGTGAGAGATGCAATGGGTGAGAGATGCAATGGGTGAGAGATGCAATGGGTGAGAGATGCAATGGGTGAGAGATGCAATGGGTGAGAGATGCACTGGGTGAGAGATGCAATGGGTGAGAGATGCACTGGGTGAGAGATGCAATGGGTGAGAGATGCAATGGGTGAGAGATGCACTTGGTGAGAGATGCAATGGGTGAGAGATGCGATGGGTGAGAGATGCAATGGGTGAGAGATGCAATGGGTGAGAGATGCGATGGGTGAGAGATGCAATGGGTGAGAGATGCAATGGGTGAGAGATGCAATGGGTGAGAGATGCAATGCGTAAGATTGTCCAGAGGGAGGCGTGAGAGTGGAGGAGACGCAGGGAGCGATGGGCTTGAGAGGGAAGGGCGGAGCTGCGAACAGCGGGCAAAGTGCAGCCTCTGCCCTTTCCGCTTCGCTCTCCTCCTTCCCCCATCATCATCATCAGCAACATCATCACCATCAGCAACATCACCGTCACCGCCTCCCCACCCAACGGATCTTGAATTTATCCGCCACGACCGCGGAGAGGATTGTGAGCGCCGTGAGATCGACGAGAGAAGAGGATTAAACCCGACAAACACGGGGAGGGAGAGAGAGAGAGACAGAGGGACCGAGAGTGACACAGTGACACGGACACACACGGGGGGACACCGTGGGAGGAGGAGGGGGACGCAAGGTGAGATAGATAGAGAGACAGAGACACCGAGGTAGGGACACGGGCTGAGACACGGGGAGATGGAGGCCTGCGGGTGAACGGAGGGGGGGTTCCACAATGCGTTGATTCGAGCTCGCAGTGCGTGAGAGGGGCTGCTGCTGTCGTTGTTGAGAGAGAGAGAGGAAGAGAGAGAGGAAGAGAGGGAGGGAGGCTGCCCCAGCGATGGCGAAGGCGGCGAGAAGACGCGCTGCGTGGGCCACGCGAGTTCGGGACGTGGCCCTGTGGCCGGGCCCCGCGGGGACCCTGGGGGGCCTGGAGCTGAGCGGCGGTGCCGAGCGGGGCCTCTTCGTGTGCGTGGCCGCGTGGACCCCGGGGCCAGAGCGGTGCAGCAGCAGCGGCGGCAGCAGCAGCGGGGTGGAGCAGCAGCAGCAGCTGTGCCCCGGGGACGTCGTCCTCGAGGTGGACGCGACCCCCGTGGCCGGCTTCATCCTGCACGACGCGCGGGCCCTGCTGCAGCAGCTGGTGCAGCAGCAGCAGCAGGAGCAGCAGCAGCCGGTGCGGGTGAAGGTCGTGAAGCCTGGTGAGTCTAGCGCCCTGAGTCTAACACTGCGAGACTAACACAGCCTCTAGTGCCCTGGGTCCAACACTAGTAACAGTCTAGCGCCTTGGGTCCAACACTGCGGTACTAACACAGTCTCTAGTGCCCTGGGTCCACCACTGCTAACACAGTCCCTAACGCCCTGGGTCTAACACTGCGAGACTAACACAGTCTAGCGCCCTGGGTCCAACACTACTAACACAGCCTCTAGCGCCCTGGGTCTAACACTGCGAGACTAACACAGTCTAGCGCCCTGAGTCTAACACTACTAACACAGTCCCTAGCGCCCTGGGTCCAACACTACTAACACAGTCTAGCGCCCTGGGTCCAACACTGCGAGACTAACACAGTCTCTAGCGCCCTGAGTCTAACACTGCGAGACTAACACAGCCTCTAGCGCCCTGAGTCTAACACTGCGAGACTAACACAGTCTCTAGCGCCCTGAGTCTAACACTGTGAGACTAACACAGTCTCTAGTGCCCTGAGTCCAACACTGTGAGACTAACACAGTCTCTAGTGCCCTGAGTCCAACACTGTGAGACTAACACAGTCTCTAGCGCCCTGTGTCCAACACTGCGAGACTAACACAGTCTCTAGCGCCCTGAGTTTAACACTGTGAGACTAACACAGCCTCTAGTGCCCTGGGTCTAACACTGTGAGACTAACACAGTCTCTAGCGCCCTGAGTCTAACACTGTGAGACTAACACAGTCTCTAGTGCTCTGAGTCCAACACTGTGAGACTAACACAGTCTCTAGTGCCCTGTGTCCAACACTGTGAGACTAACACAGTCTCTAGTGCCCTGGGTCTAACACTGTGAGACTAACACAGTCTCTAGCGCCCTGAGTCTAACACTGTGAGACTAACACAGTCTCTAGCGCCCTGAGTCTAACACTGTGAGACTAACACAGTCTCTAGCGCCCTGTGTCCAACACTGTGAGACTAACACAGCCTCTAGTGCCCTGGGTCTAACACTGTGAGACTAACACAGTCTCTAGCGCCCTGAGTCTAACACTGTGAGACTAACACAGTCTCTAGTGCTCTGAGTCCAACACTGTGAGACTAACACAGTCTCTAGTGCCCTGAGTCCAACACTGTGAGACTAACACAGTCTCTAGTGCCCTGTGTCCAACACTGTGAGACTAACACAGTCTCTAGCGCCCTGTGTCCAACACTGCGAGACTAACACAGTCTCTAGTGCCCTGTGTCCAACACTGTGAGACTAACACAGTCTCTAGCGCCCTGTGTCCAACACTGTGAGACTAACACAGTCTCTAGTGCCCTGTGTCCAACACTGTGAGACTAACACAGTCTCTAGTGCCCTGTGTCCAACACTGTGAGACTAACACAGTCTCTAGCGCCCTGTGTCCAACACTGTGAGACTAACACAGTCTCTAGTGCCCTGTGTCCAACACTGTGAGACTAACACAGTCTCTAGTGCCCTGTGTCCAACACTGTGAGACTAACACAGTCTCTAGCGCCCTGTGTCCAACACTGCGAGACTAACACAGTCTCTAGTGCCCTGTGTCCAACACTGCGAGACTAACACAGTCTCTAGCGCCCTGTGTCCAACACTGCGAGACTAACACAGTCTCTAGCGCCCTGAGTTTAACACTGTGAGACTAACACAGCCTCTAGTGCCCTGTGTCCAACACTGTGAGACTAACACAGTCTCTAGTGCCCTGTGTCCAACACTGCGAGACTAACACAGTCTCTAGCGCCCTGTGTCCAACACTGCGAGACTAACACAGTCTCTAGCGCCCTGAGTTTAACACTGTGAGACTAACACAGCCTCTAGTGCCCTGGGTCTAACACTGTGAGACTAACACAGTCTCTAGCGCCCTGTGTCCAACACTGTGAGACTAACACAGTCTCTAGTGCCCTGTGTCCAACACTGTGAGACTAACACAGTCTCTAGTGCCCTGTGTCCAACACTGTGAGACTAACACAGTCTCTAGTGCCCTGAGTCCAACACTGTGAGACTAACACAGTCTCTAGTGCCCTGTGTCTAACACTGTGAGACTAACACAGTCTCTAGTGCCCTGAGTCCAACACTGTGAGACTAACACAGTCTCTAGTGCCCTGTGTCTAACACTGCGAGACTAACACAGTCTCTAGTGCCCTGTGTCCAACACTGCGAGACTAACACAGTCTCTAGTGCCCTGTGTCCAACACTGTGAGACTAACACAGTCTCTAGTGCCCTGTGTCCAACACTGTGAGACTAACACAGTCTCTAGTGCCCTGAGTCCAACACTGTGAGACTAACACAGTCTCTAGTGCCCTGTGTCCAACACTGTGAGACTAACACAGTCTCTAGTGCCCTGAGTCCAACACTGTGAGACTAACACAGTCTCTAGTGCCCTGTGTCCAACACTGTGAGACTAACACAGTCTCTAGTGCCCTGAGTCCAACACTGTGAGACTAACACAGTCTCTAGTGCCCTGAGTCCAACACTGTGAGACTAACACAGTCTCTAGTGCCCTGTGTCCAACACTGTGAGACTAACACAGTCTCTAGTGCCCTGTGTCCAACACTGCGAGACTAACACAGTCTCTAGTGCCCTGTGTCCAACACTGCGAGACTAACACAGTCTCTAGTGCCCTGAGTCCAACACTGCGAGACTAACACAGTCTCTAGTGCCCTGAGTCCAACACTGTGAGACTAACACAGTCTCTAGTGCCCTGAGTCCAACACTGTGAGACTAACACAGTCTCTAGTGCCCTGAGTCCAACACTGTGAGACTAACACAGTCTCTAGTGCCCTGAGTCCAACACTGTGAGACTAACACAGTCTCTAGCGCCCTGTGTCCAACACTGTGAGACTAACACAGTCTCTAGTGCCCTGAGTCCAACACTGTGAGACTAACACAGTCTCTAGTGCCCTGAGTCCAACACTGTGAGACTAACACAGTCTCTAGTGCCCTGAGTCCAACACTGTGAGACTAACACAGTCTCTAGCGCCCTGTGTCCAACACTGTGAGACTAACACAGTCTCTAGTGCCCTGTGTCCAACACTGTGAGACTAACACAGTCTCTAGTGCCCTGTGTCCAACACTGTGAGACTAACACAGTCTCTAGTGCCCTGTGTCCAACACTGTGAGACTAACACAGTCTCTAGTGCCCTGTGTCCAACACTGTGAGACTAACACAGTCTCTAGTGCCCTGTGTCCAACACTGTGAGACTAACACAGTCTCTAGCGCCCTGTGTCCAACACTGTGAGACTAACACAGTCTCTAGTGCCCTGTGTCCAACACTGTGAGACTAACACAGTCTCTAGTGCCCTGTGTCCAACACTGTGAGACTAACACAGTCTCTAGTGCCCTGTGTCCAACACTGTGAGACTAACACAGTCTCTAGCGCCCTGAGTCCAACACTGTGAGACTAACACAGTCTCTAGTGCCCTGTGTCCAACACTGTGAGACTAACACAGTCTCTAGTGCCCTGTGTCCAACACTGTGAGACTAACACAGTCTCTAGTGCCCTGTGTCCAACACTGTGAGACTAACACAGTCTCTAGTGCCCTGAGTCCAACACTGTGAGACTAACACAGTCTCTAGTGCCCTGAGTCCAACACTGTGAGACTAACACAGTCTCTAGTGCCCTGAGTCCAACACTGTGAGACTAACACAGTCTCTAGTGCCCTGTGTCCAACACTGTGAGACTAACACAGTCTCTAGTGCCCTGTGTCCAACACTGTGAGACTAACACAGTCTCTAGTGCCCTGTGTCCAACACTGTGAGACTAACACAGTCTCTAGTGCCCTGTGTCCAACACTGTGAGACTAACACAGTCTCTAGTGCCCTGAGTCCAACACTGTGAGACTAACACAGTCTCTAGTGCCCTGAGTCCAACACTGTGAGACTAACACAGTCTCTAGTGCCCTGTGTCCAACACTGTGAGACTAACACAGTCTCTAGTGCCCTGTGTCCAACACTGTGAGACTAACACAGTCTCTAGTGCCCTGTGTCCAACACTGTGAGACTAACACAGTCTCTAGTGCCCTGTGTCCAACACTGTGAGACTAACACAGTCTCTAGTGCCCTGTGTCCAACACTGTGAGACTAACACAGTCTCTAGTGCCCTGTGTCCAACACTGTGAGACTAACACAGTCTCTAGTGCCCTGTGTCCAACACTGTGAGACTAACACAGTCTCTAGTGCCCTGTGTCCAACACTGTGAGACTAACACAGTCTCTAGTGCCCTGTGTCCAACACTGTGAGACTAACACAGTCTCTAGTGCCCTGTGTCCAACACTGTGAGACTAACACAGTCTCTAGCGCCCTGTGTCCAACACTGTGAGACTAACACAGTCTCTAGTGCCCTGTGTCCAACACTGTGAGACTAACACAGTCTCTAGTGCCCTGTGTCCAACACTGTGAGACTAACACAGTCTCTAGTGCCCTGAGTCCAACACTGTGAGACTAACACAGTCTCTAGCGCCCTGAGTCCAACACTGTGAGACTAACACAGTCTCTAGTGCCCTGTGTCCAACACTGTGAGACTAACACAGTCTCTAGTGCCCTGAGTCCAACACTGTGAGACTAACACAGTCTCTAGCGCCCTGAGTCCAACACTGTGAGACTAACACAGTCTCTAGTGCCCTGAGTCCAACACTGTGAGACTAACACAGTCTCTAGCGCCCTGAGTCCAACACTGTGAGACTAACACAGTCTCTAGTGCCCTGAGTCCAACACTGTGAGACTAACACAGCCTCTAGTGCCCTGTGTCCAACACTGTGAGACTAACACAGTCTCTAGTGCCCTGTGTCCAACACTGTGAGACTAACACAGTCTCTAGCGCCCTGTGTCCAACACTGTGAGACTAACACAGTCTCTAGTGCCCTGTGTCCAACACTGCGAGACTAACACAGTCTCTAGTGCCCTGTGTCCAACACTGCGAGACTAACACAGTCTCTAGCGCCCTGTGTCCAACACTGCGAGACTAACACAGTCTCTAGTGCCCTGTGTCCAACACTGTGAGAC